AAGACATAATAAAGCTTTAGAACAACTCGAAAAAGCTCAGTCACAATAGGCGCGGCAGAGAATGGAGAGATTAGATTTTTTTCATGAAGAACTGCGTAAGGAGGGACATTCAATTCAAACGTTTAAGGATGTCGAATCTGCCATGCACGAATACTTCCTCGTTTATGGGAAAAAACTTGACCCAATACCGAGACCAACAATGAGTCAGTTTTATACACCGTCAGAGGCTCAAAAGAAACGCGAGGTAACATTCGTGATAATCGGGTTATCAGTTGTTGCAATTTTCAGCTACACAATAACTACACATAAACCAGAGTGACAGCTAATCAATAAATCACATGACTGCTAAACTATAAATAGCCATGTCTCACCAGTGGAGATGTGATTTGCTTTGCATTTAGACAAATGATATGATAGATGTATAACCATGAATCTGTGCAGATTTACACTCATGGGGAAAAAAATTCAATGCAACCGGCGTTCTGTTGGTATTTACTGTGGCATACACTCTTATTACATCAGGCGGGGAAACATTAACTATACATGTTCTGTATTTGGGATAGGGGTCAAAGGTCGTTATTGTTTATGTAAGAAACAGTGCTGATAGGGTCAGGAACCAGATTATTTATGCTAGGAAGAGAGATTACATCAATGAGAGGAATAGGTTGGGGAGGATACGTATTTAAATATATGAAAAATAACCAATTAGACAAATGAATCATTTTGCATATACCATTAAACCACAATGGTTTTTGTGAGAGAGCTGAAGGCTTTAGCACAACAACGTGGTCTACATGGATATTCTCGAATGAGAAAAGCTGAATTGATCGATTTACTCGGTTTGGAATACAACAAACCCCAGACTGTTAGAGAACTCAAAGCTCAAGCATAAAACAGTGGGCTGAGAGGTTATTCTCGAATGAGAAGAGCTGAATTGATCGCTTTACTAGATAATAATCAACAAGACGATGATGATAAACAACAACAACAAGAATTAAAATTTGTATCCACATCCGCCGGCGTTGGTAAATATCTGAGAGGTTGGAAGATGGATATTAATTCCAACATGGATGTTAATGATGTTAAGCCAATCATGTCAAGCAAAATTAACGAGGAGTTAGATGATTTACACAGTATAAAATACCAGCTGACGATAAAAATGTCATTGAGTAAAAGTAGCGCAGACGATAGCACCGAATATACCGAACCATATTTCTGAAGCAATCAAGCAGTTATAACCGAATCCGATACTATAAACGCATCATTAGATACATCAATTCAGAGGATACAGGAAACTTTAGAACGCTGGACTAATAGAGGTTCGGGTTGGGGTGTGGATAAAATTGATAGTTTATATTTAGATATAGCAAATTATATGCCCTTCAAAGGTGGATCTTATATAGATTTACCCCCGTATTATAAGAAGAAAAAAGCCATAATAAATGTAAAAAGTAAATCCGATGACTGTTTAAGAATGATGATAAGATCTGCATTGTTCCCCGTAGATTCTAAAATTGCAAATAGACCTTCTAGCTATCCTCAAAACGATGGACTCAACTTCGATGGTATAGACGAACCTACACCAATATCACAAATTGATAAGGTGGAAAAGCAAAATAATTTAGCTATAAATGTTTTCGGACATTCTAAAGGAATTGTTGTACACAGGATAAGCTCCGCTCCGTAACATATCCCCAGAATCAATTCATTTCTGATCGAAAAAGATGGAAAATATCATTATACATGGATAAAGTGTTTAAACAGGCTATTATACGATCAAACAAAACATGCTAGAAAGAAATATTTCTGTGAAAGATGCCTGCATGGGTACAGCAGACAAGGTCAATAAGAAGCGCATAAAGAAGACTGCAGACCGCTATCAGGATCGATATGCCTAAAGAGGGAAAAAATATATTAAAATTTGAACATTATTGTATCATTATCGGGGGGCCGCGCATAACGAGTGTAACTTGAAACTAAAAATGAATTTTCAAACAATACCCATCCCCGTTGTGATTCTCATCTCATCATGCAAGCTATCTCAAAGACCGATGGCGGCTTAACGTGCATTCCTAATAATATGGAAAAATACATATCGTTCTCGTTGACTAAAACTATACATTATAGGGACAAGGATGGGAAAGCTAGAATAAAGCAAAGTAATGGGCTTAGATTCATAGACACCGTACAGTTTCTGTTATCTTCCCTGGACAATTTAGCTAATGCGAACAATCCCGATGACTTGCGATAACAAATCAATATACCGATAGGTTAACACGTCATTTGTTGCTGAGAAAAGGTGTATATCCTTACGAATATATGGATGGTTGGTCTAGATTTGACAAAACTAAATTACCACCTCTTGAATCATTCTATAGTAACTTAACAGAAACTAAAATAACCGATGCCGATTATGAACACGCTCTGACGGTCTGGGATAAATTAGGTTGTAAGAATTTAGGTGATTATCACGATCTGTACTTGAAAACCGATGTACTGTTACTCGCCGATATATTCGAGATATTTAGAAAGACATGTTTAAAACAATACGGCTTGGACCCAGCATGGTACTATTCCAGTCCCGGACTATCGTGGGATGCATTGTTGAAGAAGACCGCCGTAGAACTAAAACTACTCACCGATTACGATATGCACTTGTTTATTGAGAAAGGATTAAGAGGTGGTATATCGATGGTAGCGAAAAAGGTATTCTAAGGCTAATTATAAAAAAGTGGAAGGATATGATCCGAGTAAACCCAACACGCATATATTATATCTCGAGGCCAACAATTTGTACAGATGGGCTATGAGTCAACCTTTACCCACGGGTGGTTTTGAGTGGGTCGATGATATCAGTGTGAATGATATCCATAATATCGATGCGAATAAAGGGTACATACTAGAAGTTGACTTGGACTATCCAAATTCGTTACATAAAGACCATAACAGTTATCCGCTAGCTCCCGAAAGATTAATGGTTGATAAAGATTGGATGTCGGAATATCAACACTCCTTGATGGGTAATACTAGGTTAGCTAACGTAGAAAAACCCGTACCAAATTTGATGGATAAGACAAAATATATAGTTCACTACAGAAATCTCCAGTTATATCTATCGTTTGGTATGAAACTTAAGAAAATACACGGAGTTCTAAAGTTTGATCAAAGCCCTTGGATTGAGCCCTATATAAGACTGAACATAGATTTAAGAAAGATAGCCACCAGCGATTTTGAAAAGAACCTATATAAGCTCATGAATAGCTCCGTATTTGGTAAAACTATGGAGAATCTAAGGAAGCGTGTTGATGTTAAATTAGCCACATCCACTACGGTTAAAGCGTATTTATACGTTTTGCGTTTTACCTTATCGTGGGGAAGAAACAAGAGGTCAGCCTGATGAACTTCATTCGTTGTAAATATATCAAACTTCTTCCTCGGTATATAACGCAGTGCCGGTAAATATATTTGCAACATCGCTTGTTTCTTTAACCAATCCTTGGCAACATCTTTAGATTAGCCGCAGTGGCTAATTTTTTTATTGCTCCTACACCTTTCCAATATCCTCGTGTGCTATAGTAAATTTTATTCATTATTAATTAATATTGATGTTTCTTTTAATATGACTCATGACTATCGTTGAATCCCATAATCATTTTGGCATAAAAAATTCCCCCTGTAGTAGCGGTATAGGTATATAAATCCGGCTCCAGTGGGGTTGCGGCAGAACCATCATTACCTAAACTACTGCTGCCGTGTTGACTTCCACTTTCTTCTTTTGCTGCTTGCTGCCTCCTAGCCTTAGTTATAGCCTCACCTAATTTCAAGAAGGCTTTCTTAGATGTATTGGCACACTGCTCACATCTTGCCTCCTCTGTGCATATCTTCTCACTGCACCTCATGCAGTTAACATGAAGATCTCCTGTGATCATGAACCAACCACACTTCTTGCAACCGGGAGTAGAGGGAGACTCCATTATGAACCCACAACAAGACCTCACACCAGCTTATACTCATCTGCGTGCGATCGTCACTCCAGTAGCGGCTATTAATATCTACTTACTGTGTCTGTATTATACAAAACTTCTAGAATAATCTTAGATTAATGTGACTAATACCAACTGCTCAATCGTTACAACTATAACAATAGGTGTTGACTCTAGCACACACAGGAAAAAAATAACGTACCAGCCATTGCATACGTCATAGCTTGGGTGGTTACGATGCTGTTTGGGAACAACTAATTGTATGTGATTGACAGTGAAGAGGATGTCTGTTGAAAATCTGAAAATTTTAGTAAGTGTGACTGAATCCAAAATACAGGATTTATGGCAATGATGTAATAGAGGTAGGGAATCACAAGAATTATAATATAACCTAATAAACTGCATTCCTGTGCATAATAATCAAAATTGATGAATCCAACAATATTATATGTACATGTGTTTCCATTTATCATGATTTTAGCCACTTGAATTAGGAAAAACACTATTTAATTGAAAATTAAATTGCTTTCATAAACTTGTGCTTGCTATAAAATGCGCTGCCGCAGGCTATATTTAGTAAACAAATATTCAAAACTCTCAACTTCGCTGGGCGTATTCATTGACATTGTGTGTAGAGATGATAGATCACTGGGAGGAGCTTATGCACACCCCTGACATCACAGGGCATTTTTTTCCAATTGTGACTGGCATCAAAATACTACAAATTACATCATAGGGTTTTGTCACGTGTTTGAAAAGTTTGTGGTACTGTATTCGAAAGGTAAGCCACCAATTATCTACTGCCAGGGCTAGTACTCACATTAACTGCTATGTTTTCACCAGTGAGTATATACCGCAGACACATCTAGTTTTCTCTTAAAATTAATATTGATATCATTTTGATGCAATAACATTTCTGGATTTTTTAAATGGAGATTTCAAAACCATAACTGGAAATGTAGTCAGAATAAAAAGGTGATTGTTAAGAGTTTGAACATGTGATCCTTGACCTTTCAGATTGAAGCCATTCTGTGTAATGTCCTCAAGAAAAGAAGCAGCACATTTAATCAGGTAAATCAGTGATGTATGTTATCCATTTAAGAATGTGTACCAAAGTGGTTATGACCATGCTGCTAACAACACAATGTCTAAATATATGTTACCTTACCTTACCTTTTATTGTAATATTAGTCAAGGTTCAGGATACGCTTCCCTATGGTTTCCCTATGGTTTACGGACCAACAACTCGGTCAATTACGTGTTCCCATTCACGGTAACCTTACACAACCTAATCACGTGTGTATCTCTGCCAACTCATACTCGCTCTAATGGCCACCGTGTGTGAACGTGTTCTTGGACCTAGAAAATACATTTATTTTTTTGCGTTGTTTCTTGGACTGCAACGTCCTGCATGTGAAGAAAGGACAAGCTACATCTGGCGTGTACCCAGTGCAGATGCACAAATTCTACTTCAGACCTCCATGCACTGTGTTGTTACTGCCATAGCCAGTGTACCTTTGAACTTTACGCTGTGATGAGCCTCGTGCACTGGCAGACTCTGCTTATCAGCCTAACCTTCAAAAGTGTCATCAGTGGTGGACCGTCTAAATCTAAGGATTCTGAAAAGAAAGCAAAGTCAGCTGAGAAAGCTGAGTCCTCTTGCCACTCCCTCAGACTTCCAGGTGCCCATCTTGTCAGTTACCGATGATGCGCTCTCCGACAATGCTTTGACTGACGATATCTTCACACAACTTGACCCAGCGACCACCCCTCAGCCTCCACTCCCTTCAGACTTTCGGTCTTCTACCGTTCCTTCGACAACTACGCCATCGATGGTGACTGATGATCCTCTTTTCGTTCTCAACTCTCAGTCAATCGTTTGCGTTCCTCCCTTGAAAATTCCATTCCTGGAATCCTCACTTTCCTCTCCTTCAGTTGTTCATTTGATGGTAGTTCGTCTGACCGTTCTATGACAGTGCGTCCTCGGATCATTAGCCGCTCTGATTCCACATCATGCACTCAGGATTGGGACACCTCACCAGGCCCATCACCAAAGTCCTTAATCTTCACAGAATCATGTCCCGACTCCTATCTTGACGACTACATTCAGGCACATGCAGACGCCGACATCCCCATTCAACACCTCAACTTCACTCATTGTCATCTGCATCAATTAGGTTGGTTGGTCAACGTTGACAAGTTCGAGTTAGTGTCACACTGAACAACTCCAATTAATTGTGGTTCTCTTCAACGCTCATCAAGGCATGTTGTTTGTCCTGCAGGATTGTTGGGTGAAGATTCAAAGGTTTGTTCCATGGGCACTCAAACAACTGCTCCAGTTCCAACGATGGCAACAGCTCCTTGCCCTCCTGACGTCAGCGCAAGCAAGCCAACTGCACCTGCGACTGCTTCAATGCTTTCTTGCGTCCATCATCAAGATTGACGACTGTCAATTGCTGATTTCTCTGCCGATCCATATCCACATCCACCCATACCTTTAGTGGTGGCTAGTCGAATCGAAGGGGTCTCTTCGTGGCCATTTGTCCCTTCCCTTCATCTGCTTGTAAGACACCTCGACCGTCTCAATATCAATATAATTGCCTCAATATCAACAGCCGCGAATTCAAGGCAGTAATTCTAACAGTGTCTCATTGGGTGGAGCTCCTATGGCCCTCTCGAACAACACTGCACACTGTTGTATATAAACAGAATGGGGTCCACAAAGTTGATGTCACCCCTCCCACTTGCTCTGGAGGTCCCCATCTTGCTAAGGCTCGCCAACAGACGATTCCATCCTCTTCTGCTCCGAACCAACCTTCTACTTCAACTTCACTCCTAATGACTCCCTCTGTCCATGGCAATGCTCCATATATTCTTCTGCCACATTTGCAGAAGTCCCTTATCGCATTGAAGTCTTACACAGTATTCACCACACATTACCTTTGCAACATTAAGGTCACTGATGTCCATGGTCCCCACAAGTTCAACCTTTTGGTCTTGGTGCAACAACTGTCACATTCCACTCAACGCAGATGATGTCATATATGCGTGTTCCTGACCTCTTGCTTTATGCCTTTATATAAATGAGTAGGTGTTATACTGTTTTGAGATATCTTTATTCGACATCACAAATGATGGAGATCTGGAACACAGAACAGGAAACATAACTTAATGCAACACATGATTCTATAATGTAAATGTACATAATCCTTTATCCCTACCCAAGTCATTGGTAGATCTTGCAAAAGGTATGACAAGGACTAAATAAGGTAGTCAAGTCTTGACTGAGTTATAAATGAACTGAAATGACTTCAAGTGTGTTGATGTCAGATATTATGAATGTTCCATATCTATGGAAGGGAAGGATGACATGTAACACATGCATGTCTGATAATCTTTTTCAGATTTACAGCCCCACAGTCCAGGGTTTTTCCACCCAAATAGCATGAATATAGTCACTAAGCCACGAGGGTGCAATCTTTCTCCGAGTGGAACGTCTGGGTTCAACCTCCACTGGAGCAGGACATGGGGGTGGTAGCGTTCTTGTATTTGGTGTTGTTGTCAACGACGGTGCGGCAGGTTGTTGAGGAGCAACAGCCTGGTGTTGAAAGCTTGGCAGTTCCAATGACACGTCTGAAGGACTCATAGTAGTCGTTGCTGGCACAGCTGAGGATGATGGTTCCATCAAGTTTAATTCCTTCTGCAAGGGGGCAACAGGCTGATTACTGTTGGCATTGCTGGGCCTGGATGAGGCCTTCTGCAAGAAAGGACGGTATTGTGTACCAGACGAGCTGGTGATGTTGAATGGATATGGCCTGGCAAATGATCTGCAACTGTGACTGTAGGTGTGGGTGGATATACAGGAGTGTATTTGCGGAGGAATTTCCTGTTGTGTAGAGTAACTCTGCCTGAGCCATCCACACGTACAACATACTGGTCGAATTGGTGAACTTCGATCACACATCCAGTTTTGTCCCATTTCAGTGGGTGAGGGCCTGTTTGATTTTGGATTCGGACGAGATTCCCAACAACAAGGGGTGGTAGCTGTTTGGTGTGCTCAGTAAGCAGTTCATCCGTCCTCTTATGTCGGTTTCTCAAAGCATCCTCTCTCATGGAAAGAGTATCGCGCCATGTGTCATGTGGTTTATAGCAACCAGGTAGTATGGGTCTACCGAAGACACACATCGCAGGGGATAACTTGGTGTCTCTGTCTGGAGTGTTCCTGTATTGTAGCATTGCACGTTGGAAGGCCTCAGTGTCAAGTTCCCCATTAGGTCAAGTGTTGTTCGTTATCAATCTTTTGACAGTCTTGACACCGACCTCTGCTCGACAATTGCTGTGTGGGAAGGCAACAGATGACAGGCGATGATGCACACCCCATGTTCGAAGGAACTCTCTGGTAGCTGAGGCTGTGAATTCAGGGCCACCATCAGAGGATAGCTCATCCGGAATGCCAAAGGTGACAAATGTTCGGCGTAGATAATCAATCAGGCCAGGTGCACCATTGGAAGTTCTTTCAACTATAGGCCAGTTGGAGTATCTGTCGACAACCACTAAGTAGTTGATCCCTTTGTAATGGAAAAAGTCAGCACACACACATTGAAATGGGTAGACTGGGTAGACAGGTGGTGTGGGTGGGCCACAAGGTTGGGAGGGGGCCATACGGTTGCAGTGATAGCAATCGTTTCTGAGAGCTGTGATAGCTGGAGTGTTTCTAGGCCAGATGCTTCAGCTCTTGCCATCATCGATGACACGCCTTGGTGAGCGGAGTGGAGTGCAGTCAGGACATCCTGTCGCAGTAATGGGGGAATCACGATTCGATCCTTGTATATGACAACCCCATCGATAGTATGAAGATGTTCACCCGATTGATGGTATTCACGAAGTGATGCTGGTAATTCATGGCGGAATTCTGGCATCCCTGATTCAATCATCTCCACCAGCTTCACCATATCGCTGTCACTGCTTGTTGCTACCAGAACCTTGTCCCAGGTGATGGACTGGAGGGAGCTGATCGATGACACGGCTGAGTGTATAACTGAGTCCTCAATGCTGTCATCAGGCTTCTCCCTGCATCTTATTGAGGCTAGGATCATGCGACTGACATTTGAGAAAGCTGGGAGGTCAAGCAAGTCGTCATCATGGCAGATGGCTGCGACATCATCTATTAACACCATTTTCTCAGGGTGGCCAGTTGGATGGAGGGACACAGCATCAGCAGTGCGTTGTTTTGCACCTGGTACATGAACCATCTGGAATTTGTAAAGCAATGTTTTTTCCTTTAGGTTTCGGAGTCGAGCATTGGAGATATGTTCGAGGGATCGGTCACCCAACAGCTTGAGGAGTGGTTTGTGGTCGACCACAACAGTGAGATCGTTAGAGCCGAGAACGAAGTACCTGGCTTTGTCCAGTGCATCAGCAACTGGCAATGCCTCTCCTTCCACAGGGGCGTAGCGGGATTCAGCTGCATGTGTGAATCGACTGCCAACCAGAGTGATTTTTCAACCATCGTGACAACAGAAAGGGACTGTCTTTGGGCATGTGCAATGTTTTTGGAATAGCCAAAATCCAATTCCACCTTTTGACCAGTCAGTAGCAAGGCATGTCGGTTTGCGTTTGTCAAATATTCGTACACCCTCCTCAATCTCACTGACAATGACTGCCTTTGATTCCTGAAACAACATGTCTAAGTGGTTATCCCATCGAAAAGGTGTCCCAGGATTCAATAGCTGACGGTATGGTTGCATCCTTTCTGCCATGCTGAAGGCATAAGATACCTGGTTGATTAGGCCAAACCCTGACCGCATGTCTGTAATATTTCTCGGTGTGGTAAAGTCTAAGATGACTTGGAGGTACTTTTTACAGGGGCGAACACAGTCATGTGTTATCTCAAAGCCTGCAAATTCAACCGTATCCTGAGCAAAGACAAACTTCTCAGGGTTCAGTGTGATGCCGTTTCTACCACAGATGTCAGGCTTGTCTTATCAATGTGTCAGACAGTTGGTCATACAGGTGGTGGGCAAGGGTGATGGCTATTTTACCACGATGCCAGCCAAGGTTTGTGACTGCAC